TGCCAGCTGACATCTTTATCTAACGCACACACCTCCAGCTGACACCTGCCACTGTCCCCAGACTCGTCTGACTGAATCCCTGAAGCACAGCAAGTTAGATTTCAGGAACGTGGAATGACATCCTTAGGATGACTTTCAACAAAGAATACCCCAGTCAGTCTGCATCCCTCACATGTTAACTTTAAATTGCTACAGATGCACACACACAAACGGCGTATGCTTGCCCGACACAGGCTATTCCTGTGTAGTTACCACATAAACACGGTAATGGATTCAGAGGCCTCATGGACACTAGGCAAATAGACATAGCTGCCAGGTCCAAGATTGAAACCAAGTGGTCCAGGGCTGAGATAGGGATCTCGGACTAAGTTCAGGCTACAGAAATACCATTTTGGAATATAAATAGCCATGGGGTGGAGAAATGTCTCCCACTGGCCGTGGCTAAAGATTTGGTTCCCTTCTGGTAGTATTGTTGGAGATACTGAGAGACAGTGGTACCACTGAGAGGTGGATCTTAGTGGGAGGTTCTTAGGTCATTTAGGGTGTGCCTTTAAGGAGAATTATGGGACAATTTCTTTTTCTATCTCTATGGCTGCCATGAGGGGAGAAGCTTCGCTTTCCCATGTGCTTTCTGTCTTGACGAGCCTTCCATCATGTGCCACCAGAGCCAGTGCTCCTGGGCCAACGGACCACAGCCTGAAAACTCAAAACAAATCATTTTGTCATCTTATTATCTCGGGAATTTTTCTTGTAGTAGTGGAAGACTGACTAAAACCTGGCATTTTTATTTCCATAACTCACATTTTTTCTTTCAGAAGAGACAACAAAATGGCCTTTCATTTCTTCACTACAACAGGAGGCTTCATCTCAATAGTGAGGACTCCTTAATGTAAGGGGCTTTTCATGCCACCCTAGCTCCCAAGTCTCCCTGCTGACCATCTTGTAACTGCCTGCTTCCCTTCTATACAATATCTCTCTGTCCTCACATACATTTGAGGTCATGGTCCCCCTTCTAAAGCCGTTTTATGCTTTCCTAAGTATCCCTGAGATGAATTCTGTAGTCTACCAACTTGTATGTTGAAGCCCTAACCCTCAGAATCTTGGAGAATGGAACCAAGGTCTTTTATAGAGGGAACTGATTCTGCACAAGGCTATTAGGATAGATACTAGTTCAACACAACTTCTGTCCTTTTACAGATGAAAGCCCACCTTTTCCAGCACACTAGTGGTTGAGTAGGGGAGAGATGAGTACCACAGCCGACAGAGTCACGGGCCTCTCTTACCCTGCAGTCAGCCTGCAGAAGGAGTCAATCCGACATCTTACTCTCAGACTGCCAGTGTCCAGAGCTGGGGACAATACGTTTCTATTGTGTAAACTACTCAACTGGTGGCACCTTGTCACAGCACCTCCGGCAAACAGGTGCTCCTCATGGCTTAAACCGAGCAGCATCTTCCTTTGATCACGGGGAAGATAAAGAGGCAAAGGTCTCTAGCAGGGGCCAAGTTCAGTGCAGGGAAAGGATCCTGCAAGGAGAAAGCCCCTTTCCAAACTCAAACAGCCCCCATTCCCAGAGCTCGTAACACAGGTGTGTCCAGTTACAAGTACGGCCTCTCTGTGTCTACTGATACTCTGGTGGGTGCTGAAAAAACTTCTGGCTAACCACGATGGCAATGAAGCGGACAGTGGATCTCTGATGAATGGGCAGTGGTATTTTTTTGTTGTTAAAAAATTACATTTATTGTGTGCGTGTCGGGGGCAGGGGACATGCCAAGGTATGCAGAAGGAGATAAGAAGGCAGTTTGTGGGAGACAGCGCTCTCCTTCAACAACAACGTGGGTCCTCGGGATTGAATTCAGGTTGTCAAACTTAGCAACAATCGCCTTCACATGCTGAGCCATTCCACTGACCTTGAGGAGGTATTTTAAGAGAAGAGAGAGGCAGAATGTTCTAGCCCTCATCTATTGACAAACTGGATGCAGAGTAGAAGCCCCTGGGGCTACCGTGAGGCCCCTTGCTTTCTGACTCTTCACAGGTTTCTCTCCCCATCTGATCCAAACGGCACTGATGACCACGGGCAAGGCTAAGTCTGTGGATCCTCTGTTGGCATAGCCGGAATGCTGGCAGTCCCCCAAGGGCCTGGGGGCACTGGATTTTTGTGGCCAGTTCATGTTTCAGTGGTTTAGTTCCTTTGTTCCTGACAACCCCACTGGCAGTGGTCCTGAACGTAGTCACTTCAATCAATCAGCACCCCAGCTAGAAACAGAAGGGAAGAAACATGCTATCCCTTTCTCAGGGGACCACTCTGGCAGGGCACCCTACCTATAAACTTTAAGAAGCTTGGTTCTATGTCTCATTTTTTTTAAATAGTAATGTTCCTGAAGTGTTAAATTAGATTCAAAATTTAAAAAATTGAGTCATGGGAATGGAACGTCATGTCAGTGAGGAGATAGATGAAGAAAAGCTGGTTCTTGAAGAAAATATAACAGCTAAGATTCCACAGTCAAGGTGACCTCTTCCTAGGGATCAAGTTCCAAGCTCCCTAGAAGACACCCAGAGAGAACGCTGCATGGACTTCCACAGTGGGGCTGGTCTTGGCTGGAGGGAGGGACAATCCTGAGGTCTCAATAGTCTCTTGACTAGGGACTACTGGGGTGAAAAGTATTGCTCACATGGCTTGGATAAGAGACCCATAGACCAATGGGCCTTAAACATTCTTATCAACAAAAGTCTCGGCATGTCCCTGGCATGTGCCATCTATGCATGTATGTATGTATCTATGCATGTATGCATGTATAAATGCATATATTCATCTTCCTACCTATCTAGTTAGACAGGACCAAATAGAGCCTAGGTTAGCTTTGAACTTGCTGGGCAGTCAAGGATGATACTTTGAACTTCTGATCTTCCTACCTCCAGGCCTCCATCTCCTAAGAGCTGGGATTCCAAGTGTGTGGCCACCATGCATGACTGTGTGTGCTATCTATTTATGGCTAATAATTAAATAGGAACTACATGAATGTGCCAAGCCATAAAATGAGGTATAAATAAAGAAATTGAAAATAAGGAAATAACGAAAGTAGAAGCCCCGCTGTGTCTCTCCCACGCCCCAGGTGACAGGCTTGTTCACGCCTGCCCTTGCTGCACTATCCTGAAATCCTGAGCATCTACAATGCGTAACTTCTCGTTCATAGTCCCATCTCTAACTAGGGCACTCCATACTTCTCCAGCCATGGCTGACTCGAGCAGTCAGTTATTATCAAAGGAATCCTGATGATTTCTCAACTGAGTCAGGAAGGTTGCTCCAAAGCACCCACAAGGCAATGCTATCCGGAAGTTGCACTGGTGACTTTTCCTCAGCACCGTGACAAGATGCCTGACAGAAGCAGCTCAGGGGAGGAAGGGTTTCACTGGCTCCCAACTGCAGGCAGGGAAGCATGGCTGAGGTCATGGCTGAGGGTCTCTACCTTGGGACTCGCCCCATCGAGGACTCCTCCCATCTCAGTAGACAGCAGGAAGCAGAGAAATGTAGCTGGAACTAGGCTATGACTCTCAGCAACCCATTCCCTACAGCTAGGTCCCACCCACTCTAAGGCTTCTGCAACATTCCTAAATAGCACATCACCTGGAGACCAAGAATTCAAACACTCATGTCTGTAGGGGACACTTTACACTCAAACCCTAACGGGAGAATAATAATCATGCTTTTTAGGTGGAAACCGTACTTCCTGCCTGGAAGGTTCTGCAGAAACTGACTCACGGCACTCGGCTCACTGTCCCTCAGTCCAACTCCAGGATTATTCTTGGGTGTTGCACTTTTTTTTCTTATGCTATTAAAACCATCAAGCTTTAATACAGCTTCCTTTCCTGCTCATCTTATGAGACGAACACCACAATCGGTCTTCAGTGGCTCTCATAAATTCCCAGCAGTATTTATGTTTTGGAAAGGAATAAGTATTGGAAGAAGGAGAATTTCTTGGACAAAGGCTTGAATACAGAGAACTTTCCAAACACGGATGGCCATGTCTCTTGCCCTTTTGAGTTTTATGGTCAGAGTATTATGGTGGTGGGATGTGGCTGTGTGTTCAGTATGAAAGGCTGGGCACAGTTTCTCCTTGGGAAGATGATCACACACACACACACACACACACACACACACACACACACACACAGAGGTAGTAAGACAGTAAGTGCATAAGAAGATGTATATATGTCGTTCTGATATTTTTGTTCTCCACATTAGAATATTGTGTTACACAAGGCCAAATCTTATCAGTGTTGACTACTTCACACATCCCTGTATCATTACTGAAACACCATCCAGGAAGAAACCAAGTTAATTATGAGAAAGAAGCTATATATACAGTAATAGGCAGTAATGGAAAAGTAACCAAGACAGTAACTGAAGTTCTCTAAGCCTTATGTCCTCAACTGTAAATTGAGCATTAACATGCCTATCTCACAGGAAATTCAAAGAAAAATGATTTAATATATGTAATGTGAAATGCTTAGAAGCATGCCCAAATTGCATGTGTTCAATAAATGTTACCCATTAATATGTAAACTTAGACTTAGGTGAAAAACCTACCACAAGAGTTTAAGATATTACTACAATACAAAGCTACACCTATGTCTTTAATAACCATACATACAACATCTAAGAAGCATCCTAGAGTAGCAATGAGGCATCACTACCAAACATTTGACTGCATAACAGAAGAGTGGACTTGTTGTCTCCATAGTTAACTAAACCATAACCCCTTACAGACAGTCCTATCCCTTTAGTTCTAACCCTTGAGTCAAGGGAAATCTTTAAGATTTGACTTATTGAAGGAGAGAGACTACAAGCAATCTTAGGGACAAAATAAGATGCTATCCACCGGCTTTGTAAGTAAGTTGCTAAGAGACACCAAGGAGCAGGCTGGAGATGGAGGCTGTGTATGTCTACTGTAGCCACAGAGCCTGTCCTGGGGTCAGCAGGGCAGGAGGGCTGCTTTCCTACCTGGTGAGCTTGGTGCCAATCTGCTGTCTGAGCTCCAACCTCTCCTCATCGGTCTGTCTGGGGAGGATATTCTTCTCTTCCAGCTCTCGCTTCGAAGGTCTGTTGCTGAGTTTGATGGCTAAGGAGTCCTTCCTGCAGACCTTCATGGCCAGAGAGCCTGTAGGAGGGAGAAATCAGTCAATTAACAGAGACGTCCCTCCGCCTGGATGCCCATGAGGCCAAGCATGGTGGGCTAGGAAGCGGAAGGTGGGAAGACAGACGCCAAATATTCAAGTCTGAGTTCCTAGCACTGCTGCCCTGTTGGACTTCAGCCGCTCACATGGTATGGGACACATTGGGAGGGAAGGGGAGCCTGTGACTGGGTCTCTCCCTTCAGAAATCCCCAGCATGTGGCAACATTACAAAGGAGGACAGGACCTCCTTACTGTGTGGTGCCAGAGAGAAGAGGAGCAGGGAGGCCAGGGGTCTCAGCAGCTAGGAAAGATTTCACAGAGTAGGGCTGCTGCCAGGGCACAGGACATGCCCACAGGGGGCAGGCTTGTGGGATCCATATCTGCACATGTTCAGTGGTGACACAGACGCTAGGAACTCTCAGGAGACAGACAAGAGCAGTTACCCGGAGCTCAGGACGTACAGAAGGAGGCATTAATAATGCTGTGTGGGCAAGGTGGGGACACTTGCGGTGAGAGCAGAGTTGAAGACTGTGATTTGAGCAGTAGTCTGGGATTGCTCTTTCTTTCGGACACCTAGGTTTCTGAGCACCCAGGTCTGCTCTACATCTGCAGCTTCAACTAGATGATTTTGTACGTTAGCGAGCAGCCGGAGGTATTTTTGTGTGTTAAAGGTAAGGTGGCAGTCCAGAGGTTGGTACTGTCATTTAGCTGGTGGAGACCCTGGAGGCTGCTAATCACACTGCAATGCTCAGGACCACCGTCACAGCGGAGGATGATGTGGCCCCAAAGGCCAACAGTGCTAAGCTGAGAAACTCTGGCACAGAATCTTCTACTCTCAGGCAATAAATAGACTTGGCGGCTGCGCCCTTCCACTGGTGGGTCATTGCAGCCTCTGAGAGCATCTTTATGGGTCTTCCTTCCCCAACATCTCCATTTACCAGTAAAAGGGGACCATGTTGATGCCCTGAGAATGTTTTAAGACAGAAATATGAGAAGGCGATCTTAGCTCATTGTTGGGAACAGGTTATATAGTCAACAAACAGCAGCTTTCTGATAAACTCACTTTTATGAGCTCCAAGTCAGCTATTGCTATCCTCACACCATTAAATCCTAGTTATTCATGGACGGAGTGATAGATTAGCAACTTCCTCTATTTCTTAAAACAGTTAAAGGGCTTCGACAGAGAGTTTAAGTTCAGGTTTTCTAAAGTTGATGAGGTGGACTTGAACATGAATATGTCAAATACACAGTGGCTAGGTTTACGCACATGAAACAGGTTTTCCAGCTCTCCCTCCATTTATACCTTGTTGTTTGAAATCAACCAAGACAGGTAGGAGGTGATACAGTTGTACTGTAGTGTGTATAGTTATGAAGCTGGATGGCTGATAGATATTCTCCCTCTTATTACTGCTAAGAAAGCGGGGTCTCGAGAGATCACTTGAGCTGTCCTGCTAGGGCTCAGGTAAGAGCTGATATTCAGGCCTCCATTCTGGCTGTGTTTACGGTACCATGCTCCCCCCCCCCCCCCCCCATGGAACGTCTGCCCGCACGTACTGGTGTACAATGAAGCATCGTCGTCATCCTCCTCCTCCTCTTCCTCCTCCTCCCGGGCGTACAGGCAGGATGAGTCTTCATAGTCGGACTCGTGAGGCACATTCTCTTTATTGTCGTCGCACTCGATCACAACGGTTGGCACTTGTCTTATTTCCGGAAGGCCCATGGGTCCTGCTTTCGTGACACCGTCGCCCGAGTGCAAACCAGAGCTGTGGTAAGAAGTGGAACAGGGGACTCGCTGCTCGGAGCTGTGTAAAGAGGAAACAAAGGGAATTCACCTCAGCTAACACGTCCCGTTCAGGCTTTGGAGCTGCTTTAAAATTTAGCTGTCTCACTCTCGGAGGCAAAGCTCCCCCAGGCAAGGAGGACAGAGCTTTCCTGATGGAGGCAGTAGCCTGGAATAAGAAACCTATACGCTTAGTGCTGGTGCTAGGTGCACAACAATTTATAGCCACTGGGTGGCGCACTTTGAACCAGTTAAAGTGGAGCTCCTCTACAACCCACCTACATCCCAACTGGGGTAAGGATTAACTTGATCTCAAGTGAGCCAGTAAGTGAGGATCTAGCTTTCAAAAGCTATGTAGAGCAAGGTACCCCTCCATAGGGCATGGGCTCTGAAAAGCCAATTCGTGTGCTAGGGATAAATTATGGTCCCATTGACAGTGACCTCACAGACTGCCCAAGCCACATAACTGTCACCCCCATTCAGAGGGCCTAGTTTGGTCCTATGCAGGTTCTCCAGCTGCCAGTACAGAGTCAGTGAGCTCACACTAGCTAGGGTCAGCTGTCTCTGTGGGTGTCCCCATCATGGTCTTGACCCCATTGCTCATGTTATAGCTCCTCCCACTCTTGGACTGAACTCCGGGAGCTCTGCCCAGTGGATCTCTACACCTTCTTCCATCAGTTACTGGATGAAGATTCTTTGATGACAATTAGGGTACCTATCAATCTGACCACTGGGGAAGGCCAATTAAAGCACCATCGCCTCGATTGCTTGGGGTCTTAGCTGGGGTCTCAATACAGGAAGGAGAGGCTTGGCCCTGCCTCAACTTGATAGGCCAGACTTTGTTGATTCCTCATGGGAAATAATACCCTTTTCAAAAAGTGGATGGGGGGTTGGGAGTGGAGAAGGGGGGTGGGAGGAGGGGAGGGAGGGGGAACGGTGGTTGGTTCCACAATGAAGAAAACCTTTTAAATTAAAAACAAAAGCAATGTAGAGCAGAGGCAGAACTGAGAGCAGAGCATGGTTTGAAATGGTCCAGGTGAGACACAGAGGAAGAGGAGAGCTGGGTTGACGAGCGATATTCTCGTCCTGTGCTGGGACATCAAGGTGGACACAGCCACGGGCCACCTAGAGGAAGGTCTTTTCCAAGGATGGGTCTGGGTCCAGCAGGCTGTGACGGGGAACATTAGCCTAACTTCCTGCCCCACCCCTTGGCCGGTTTTCTAAGAATGATGCTCTCAAAATCAATGCAGATTTAATACATTTTCAATTAAAAGGATGCCCAAAGCACCCACTATTAGACAAATGGAAAATGTACGTCATCGCAGTGTCCGAATAGAAGCTTTGTGGAGATCTCAAAGCAATTAGAGTCCTTCTGTGTGAAGTTCAGCAAAAATAATGGGAATACGGAGGTTGAAACATGTCACTGTTTCTTTCTTCCCATCCTCCCCGTTTCTCCCTTCCTCCCTCTCTCCTTTCACTTTCTCCTCCTACTCTTTTTTATCTAGCGTTGGGGATTGAACCCAAGACCTCGCATATGCTAGTCAAGTACTCTGCCGCGGACACACATCCCTGGCTCAGGCAAAACTTTTGTTCCTTTTTAGTATCATCAAAAATAGAACTTGTATGCAATTTAAAAAATTTCTGAACATGGGAAACAATATACTTTTATATCACAAAGTATTTGACATTCCTAAGCAAATAGATTGTGAAGGTATATCAAAGCTTTACGCTAAAATATTTTATCCTAAAGGAATCTTACTATGCTGTAAGAAAACATGAGTTTCCTTTGAAGCTTTCAATTATGTTTTAAGTTATTGCTGTGTCTAATTTAAATTCAATTAACTCCCTTCCTTTCACTGCCTCCAAAGGGTGGCTTTTCTCTTTGTATTTTCCACAGAAGTCTTCAGTGACACAGATGGGAAATCCAGTTAACACCACATGAGCTACGATATTCAAGGCAATGAACTAAATCAGCTTAAAAACAACAATTACTCAATAGGACGAAATCATGTATTTACAAAAAGTGCCGTGTTTTATTAGAGATGAGTAGTTTGAGATGGCCCATTTCCCGGCTAATCGCAGAGAAACAGCAATGGGAGCAGGAGGCAGGCAGAACACATGATAGCGGGTCTCCACGGTGACAAACACAATGTTTAACCCCAAATTGGACTGAGTGGGCCCCTTACTGCCTTGCCCTCCAAGGCAGCACCCCCTATGGAGCAAAGACAGTAACTAAATTCCAGCTGTGCCTAGGTATCTTTCTTGGGTGTCATGAGGTGGGGGGCTAGCGGCAGAGACAAAAATGTAATTCTGTGGCTTGTGTCTTGCTCCACCCTTGCCTTCTCCTTTCTCTACTTTCATAATTTAATTAGCACGGTTCCTAAAAGGCATAGCACTTAGGATAGACATCTGCGAGTTAGGGATGGGAAGCTGATAATAGGTATTCTTGTTTGGTGTGAAGAAATGTTGGAATAGAAAACTAGAATGCCTTAAGGCAGGAAGCTCCAAAGTGAACACAGAGGGAAGAAGAGAGGGGAATAAAGGAGCTAAGAAACTCAACCTTGGAGGCGGTGTGGTGGTTTGAATGAGGATGGCCCCCATAGGTTGTATGTTTGAATACTTGGTCCCTAGTTGGTAGAGCTGGTTGGAAGGATTAGGAAGCATGGCCTTATCTGAGGAGGTGTGGCCCTAGGAATGGACGTTGAGGTTTCAAAAGTTCATCCCATTCCCAGTTAGCTCCCTCTCTGGCTCCAGCTTGTGGATAATGATATGAGCACTCAGCTCTTGTTCCAGTGCCATGCCGGCCTGCCCGCTTGCCTGTGTGCCCACTGCTAAGCTTCCTGCCACGATGGCCATAGACTGTATGGAACTGCTAAGTCCTAACTACAAGTTGCCTTGGTCATGGTATCTCTTCAGAGCCACAGAAAAGTGACTAAGACGGGTGTGGTCTGCGATAAAGAAGGGGCTGTGATTTCTCCTGGAAGACAAGACTGTGCGATCAGGACTAGAACAGGATTCCACAGGAGAGAACCTAGCTGCATTGACAAGTCTAAAGAATTACTCTACCAGCGTTGCAAAACAGGGACCCCCATATAGGTGATTAACCACTGCCTCAAAGAGACATTACAAACCCAGCTGAAAACTGATACTGGCAGGTCTTCTTCCTAAAGTATCATCCTACCTATCGTGTGCTAGAATGCTTCAGTTTACAAAAGCAGGAATAATGTTTTCCAGGAATTTATATGAATCCATCAAAATGTCTGAGCATATTTTACTAATTAATATCCATGCTGGGGGTGGGGAATGCTATTTGCCACTGTGATCTTAGCACTTGGGAAACTGAGGCAGGAAGAGCGAGAGCTCCAAACTCGCCTAGGCCACATAGCGAGAGCCTGTCTCCACAAATTATCTGCTGAATTATCTACTGAAGGCCAAGTATATGCCAGGAAAGGTGCTGAGAGGAAGACAAAACCTGTGGAGAATCTTGGGAGGGCAAGAGAAGATAAGAAGTGAGCAGGAAGGAGGCTAGAAGGTCATGATGGGACTCCTCCTGGGGGAATCAAGACTTAGATTTGAGTCTACATTTTCCCCATTTTCTCTCTTCTTGATTTCGGGCAAGCTATTCAGTGTCTGAGTCTCAACTTTCTCAAATGCAAAATTGTGTATATCATGCTTTTTGGGGTGGTGGTGATAGCTGACCCTGTTAACATGGCCTTAAATGAGAGCCCACTCCCCCCGCTCCTTTAATTACAGAAATGATGTTCCAGAAGATTTCAAAACATACTCTGTGTGTCCACTCTCCACACATAGTGGAGAAATTTTCTAAAAAGCGCATATAGTTGCCTTTCCCATGTGAACTTTGACCCCCAAGTCTTCAAAAGCAGCAACACCAATGGAAAAATGCAGCTAGCAGAGTGTGACCCAGACCATCCATGGCCAAGAGACATATCCAGGAAGTGCAGCATCTAACTGATGTGGCCTCCTGAATGTCGCCCTAGAGGAAGCCTAGGGGAGTGGCAGTCTCAGTTGGTTTATATGATAGAGTTGCTCCATAGATTTGCTTTAATGTCCATTGCTAAAGAGGAGTAAAACCTATGTGTTCACTGAGCCTTTCTTCTCCCCACCTATGTATCGATACAAAGCTCACCACAGCCACCCAGTCAGTGTTGCTGGTCTACAACACATTCCTAGCTCATCTTCATCTCTTTCCTTACCATTTATTGTTTATTACTCGTCTCCAGAAATGCCTTGCCTATGTTCACAGGAGATCCCTCAGCTGTAAAAATTATAAGCATCTATCTGCTTACCATCTTCCCCTCTGCTGTGGTTCAGATATGGAGCCTATCCCCTAGAAGCTCCTGTATTAAAATCTTAGTGTCTGTTTCGAGCAGAGTTCAGAGGTGGGCTGCAGGGTAAGCGACCGGATTGTGATGGCTCCACCTTCATCAGTGGTCTGGTCCACTGTAGACTCAGTCAGCACAGCCTATTGGGCGATTGTGGAACTGTGGAAGGTGGGGTGTATGTGGATGAAGTGGGGCCCTGGGAGAGTATTTTTGAAGGTTCTCTTGCCCTAGTCCCTTCCTGGCTACCATTCTCTCTGCTCTCAGGTCGCTATTAAGTCAACACTGTCTGCCCCATGTTCACACCACCCCGATATTTAGCCTTGTCTCTGCTCTCAGCCATGAGCTCAGTCCACCATGAACCCAAACTTCTAACACCGGACTACAGAGTGTGCTCCCTTAAACTGTGTACTAGCTACTTTTCCCATCACAATGACAAAATATTTGATAGAGACAGCTTAAAGAAGGGAGCATATACTTTGGCTCCTGGCTTCAGAAGGTTTAGTCTGTTCATGGTTTCTTGGTTCCATCTGCTTGGTTCCATCACAGTGGTGGGGAGATTAGCAGAGGAGAGAAACTCATTTTATGGATGACTGGGAATGGGAGAGACAGAGACAGAGAGAGATACAGAGAAAGACAGAGACAGATAGACAGACAAAAATTGATTTTGAATGAGGAGAGG